ATGGATAATTACATAAAGAAATGGCTTGTTTCAGCTATTATTGGTATTCTTGGTGCAATTGTCGGTACAATAGCACTAAAAAGCTGCCGATCAGTGAATGCAAAAATTAAAGAAAATTTTTTAGTAAATCGAAATATTTAATGTCAGCTTACGTGCAGGAACACTGACACCAGGATCTGACTCAATTGTCTCATAATAATATAAGCTCTGTGCATGTATATTTTGTCCAATTGCTTCTCTTAAACCAGTAGTATACTCATCATCTGCATACAAACGACGTGAAGTTCTAAAGGAAAAAAAAATAATCTCTTTAATTTTTGCATTCACTGATCGGCAGCTTTTTAGTGCTATTGTACCGACAATTGCACCAACAATACCAATAATAGCTGAAACAAGCCATTTCTTTATGTAATTATCCATAATTAATCAATAGAATGTGAATGACTAAATAATTCTGTAAATTCACGATGATAAATAATAATATGGCAATAATACGAGAAGGTTAAATCTAAAATACACAATGGACATATGTAAATGGCTAAATAATTCAGTGTTTTTGCGACGATAAATAATAAGCATCACAATAATACGAGATAATTAAAAGTCTAAAACACAATGTTCATATGTATGTCATATAAGATAGTCACTTGATTATTCGATTAGATAAGACAGTATTGTTAAGATCCCTCCAACCTCCCAAATAAGTTTACTGTTGTCACAAAAGCCAAAATTGAATTAAATACACAGATCGATACTGGAGGTGTGATCTTTCACAAACCGCATAATTTTCTTATTTGGCGCCTCGGTTTGCGTTCAAATCGTTGATGATTACTGTCATCTATTAGTAATAGTGAATAGGCTTCAACCATTAACCAATACTTAGCTAAAGTATACTTATCTATTTCATTTTGAAACAGACACTTATAATGTTAAACACTGCTCCCAATGAAATCGGACAAGAAGGGATGAAATATTTTACTGATCCATTAAAAGCTAAGTTAGTGAGATTGATATTTTATAGATCAATGTCATCTTGATATTCATCATTCAACATAGGTCCTTGCAAATTTTGAATCTTGCTTTGAACTGAATCAATGATCAACGAGTACAATATCTAGCTAGTGCATTAGAAAATAATACAGAGAAACACGGCTTATTTACACATTTTGTACATTATCGTAATCAATTGAATCAATTTCTGATGATACTGAATATAACCCGAAATAATATCAAAGATGAAGAAGTGCTAGGTACAACTACAGAAGAGCGACATCGTCTACACTAATTGTTGTAATTGACAGGACATATCACAGAGAGTGTGTGTCGCGGTGTCGTTCTTCTGCAGTTGTACCCTGTGACCATTGTAAGAAAAAGGTGACAGGAGAGAAAAGGAAAAAAGCAAATAATTATTAAACAAAAGAGAATATTTCTATCCGTCAAGTTGTAATAATATAGCTTGCACAAAAACAGATTATTGAATATTAGTCAAATGCATTATCTATTTTCAACAGATGATTTTCAATTAATACAAAGGATTAGAAATGCCAATTTAGATGTAATATAAATGGCTATGTCCAAATTGCGAATATAAATATGTTCTCATTATATATACTTTCTCTTCTTTAGTCTGACTATGTTTATTGTTGACCTATGAATGAACTTTCGATAAATATGATTATATATATCAAACTTTGATGCATATCGATAGAGAGATCAGCAATAGAATATTGTGAAATAAGACCGTTCATTGTGAAAAATGTTACCTACCAATATATTCAATAATGAATTTTGTTCAAAAAATATAATGCTATTGAAAAAAAAAATATTCGTTCTATGCAGCACATACTGTACAATTAATGTCTTCAACACTTCCTTGTAAGTAGAAGATGAAAACGATTTGTTTCATAATCTAGCAACAGAAATATATTCGAATTACCAAAAGAACCATATGCAACATATTAAATAAAGAGAATCATCTCATCTTAGAGAAGAAATGTGAAAGATTTCCGCAGTGTTTTTTAGATTTGAATAGGAGTTTGTCAGAAATCATTTATTATTTGTAATAGTTATTGTTAGCATTCTACATTAAATCGATTCCATCGGATTTAGTGAGATTGATCACAGGAATCAACTAAAATTTCTCAAAATTTATACATACACCCTCTTTTAGTTTATACAACTGAGTGGTTAATAACTAAGTAAAATCATTTCACTGATTTCCTTTCCTTTATTTTTATCAATATATAAATGTTCTGAGAATGATTAATCAGCTCTTCTTCGGCTAAATATATTTTCAGTGATGCGATCGGTTCGGTTCTAAATATTCGGAACCGATTTCCATTCAAATATATATTTAAATATATTTAACTTTGTTAGAATGCTCTAATATACATCTTTATTTCTTATTCTTTTCTCTCCTACTTTCCTATTCGGCCGTGACAATTTTAATAAATTATGACTCTCTTCTTCTGTTCTAAATATAAGGACATTCTAATAAAAGAACACATTGAACATCATCCTCTTTATATAAAATGATCTAGGGTGGAGTAGAGGATATTTATTCATCTCCCTCCTTGTATTTCACTTATATATTTCTCTCTCTCTTATATATGACAATACATGTATATGTAAAAGAGAAAAGAAAAGGAAAGATAATAATTTGAATAAAATTGAATTTCGGGTGAATTGAACCGAAGATTTTACAAACATCAAATTTCGTTACAGAGAAAGGGCTCTATAACAAACATATACTAAGAATGAATGAAGAAAGTGTAGCAAATTTCTTATTTTTACTCAACTGCTCATTAGTTTCAGTGAGTGTGCCCTTTTACAGACTACATTTCCGTATGAAACACTCATATATATAAATAAGTATCAATTAATTATCGTGTTGTAATAATTCTTAGCTGATGGCGAAAACATTACTTTCTTTTTAACGTTCAAGGAATATATAACGATGAATATTTAAGTTGAGAAACGATCACCTAAATGATATTTCGAAATAGATCGATAAGCAAAGCCTAAAAATATCATTGAAATTGTCCATTTTCAAATGATGGGTAGATTATTTCTATGAATTTTAGGTTCTCTTTGTCATATAAGTCTTGTAAGTTGAGAGTAAAACTGGATTTAATAAGGTGGTAAATAATTATTATAAAATATTACTTAATATTGTTCTATTAAAATGGGTGTATCATAAAAAATGTGATCTCTATATATCTGCACTCAACGACGAAAAAAACTACCTTGAGCGGCTCTTGATTAGCGTAATAAATTGACTAACCACTGAAAATAAACTAGTCTTCTATCATCCGAAATTTCTTTTATTCTGAAAACAAAAATACCCATGTTTTTAACATTATTTCTACTACAAATTTCTAGTTCGTTTTTAAAATTATTAATGACGTTTTAAGCATGTCTTTAATAAAGGCTTTTAGGGGAATATCCTTAGAAAAAAATAAAAGCTTTTGAAGCTTCTTTATCTCCTTGAGTTTCGAATTCGGTTCGATTCGGTTTGAGATTTTTTCGGTTGGGTTCGAAAAAAACACGAGCCGATCCCATCACTGTATACTTTTTCGGCTTTTATTTGATTTTAGTAAAATCTTATGATTAAAAAAGAAAATAATAGTCTTACTTTTTATTTTAAACATATATAAGCCCTCAATAACTTTGTTGTTGATGTTAAATAATGTTACATAAATAAAACAACTTTTTATTTGTGTAAATGAACAGATTGACGATATATTTCATTATAATTTAGTTAATCGTCAATTATACTTTATGATGACCAATATTCAATTATTATCAATACCAACTTGTTTCAATTGTTTACCAAATGAGCTTATTTTGATTATTTGGACATACTTAGGTCATGTTGAAGCAATCAGAATATTTGGAACTATGAAATATCAGCGATATACACGTCTATTAGAAAAATATTGCTATAAGAGTATCAATTTTCATGAATCATCTTTATCGGCTTTTCAACTTTTTTGTTCTCATTTATTCAATAAAATACGATTGAATGTAGAAACATTAAAAACTGGTCATCGATTTTCTTATTCACAATTACGTATTTTTACCCAAATGCGTTCAGGTTAGTTAAATAGATGTCAATTTTTGCTTTAAATTAGAAGTTGAGTTATTATCATTAGTTTGATTTCTGTGCACACCAAGATTTTGATAATCTGAAAGACACAACGAAATTGAGTTTATTTTATAATTATTCTCATTGTTTTTTTTTCTGTTGATTTTTACCAAATTTTCATTGTCAAATTCTTTTTTAATAAAGATGATATTAGCACTTTTTATTTTTAACAAGAAAACGTTCATTAAAATTAGTCTCAGATTTAAACTAGTATAATTTATCCAAATAAAATCTTTGCTTAATTTGTTTAACTCGATATCTATGATTGAGTTTGAGATTTCCTGCTAAAAACTGAGGTATCAACAATTTTCATGTCATTTATGATCTTATTTAGATTGTATAAGTTTGATAGAAAGGAAAAATACCAAAAGTAAAAAATATCGAAAGAGTTATTAATGCGACTTCAGTACATGCTTTCATCAACATCGCATCAGTAATCTGGAACAGGATTTATGTCTTACATTTACACGTGAATAATGTGTGTTACATCTGCATTAATAGCATTTTCGATATTATTGATTTTTGGCGTTTTTTCTTTCTACCAAATTTATACAAGCTCTTGTTTACACTGATAGGATCTTAATATAAAAATGCAAAGAAAGTTTTTATTTTGTTTACTCTTGTGTTTTTTCAGTAGCTTCTGTATCACTTTTGGAAATGTTTCCAAAACTGCAAACACTTGTCTTGTACAATGTTCCGGAAATGTGTATTGATGATCTTGAATCTTACCTGGTAGATATTCCGTTTCTACGGCATGTGACACTTAAAAAGTGTTCATTAAAAAAAGTATCATCTTTGATTTGTTCAAATCTTCTTGGTCATGGATCAATCAGTCAACTGCAGAGATGTACTCTTCATAGTGATCATCGAAAGAATGGAATTATTTTTCATGAGCCAATTTCATCCTTTTATCAAGTACAAAACTCTCTCATTTATCTTCGAATTTATATGGAAGATTTTATATCATTGAAAAATTTACTTCAATTTCTTCCAAAACTCTTAACACTTGGTAAGTGTGAAATTTAAATTAATTAGAGAAAAACCTAAGCTATTATTATACACTAGTTGCCAGTATTATCGTTTGACAGGATATTTTCCTCTTCGAATTGTATATTTCTCTTTCAATAATTCATTTCAAGACGGATCTTTTATTCTGGCAAAGTCTAATACAGGAGAGGATGTAAGAAAATGGTCATGCAGATTATCTATTTCACATTAAGTTAAATGATTTCACTCACAACGAATAAAGTAAGTTAATTTTATTAAATAAATGTTTAAGATTTTTCTATGCAGTTGATTGGAGTCAAACAATTTCGATATGAAAATAGAATATTGAGAAAAATGTCAGAACGAAAATGAAAAAAATTATTTTATTGTAAGAAAAGGTACGAACGTGATTCATATTTGAACTGCAAAGTTAAATAATGTAAACTAAAAGATTATCTAAGTATTAGTAATTTGAACAAAAAACCAGCAAGAAACATTTGCTTATCTGAATATGGACCTTGCCAGAATGAAAATTAAAATAATATCTGACTTTATTAATATAAATAGTGTTCGTTCTGTGTAATAAGACCGAGTCTCAAGAAATTTTCGTGCTTGTCTATTTGCACAGAACTGGTTGCGAGTCTTTTCGTCTTTGTTCATCTGCAACTCTAAATGTAAAATCATACATTGAGAAAACCAAGATAATATTTTATTGATGCATCTATGGACAAGTTTACTTACTTGGTAGTCTTTTATGCCATAAAAGACTATTTGTTGCAATTTTCAAAGAGAATAACATGCAGTCTATCATATAAATATGTAACGTATGTAAATTTATAGTATGAGAGGTATTTCATTTATTTCAGATGTTGGTATTTGCAATCATATTACAAGAAATGATAATGATCTGTTCGTTTCCTGCATTTGTCTATGCACTAATTTAACAAAATTAATTTTTCGGTAAGTAACATTGATAGATAAATATCATATTCAATTGTGCATTTATATCTAGAGTGCATGGGATTGTGCAATATTTTTCAAGTGTTATAAACTTTATTCTCTTATTTCATAATAGTCTTCTCAATCTTGATCTAGCTTTCACTCATAAAGATCCTGCTTATCGTCATTCATTAGTATATGTTGACGGAAATCTTCTTTTTAACGACCTTATAGTTCATATGAAAAAATTAGAAAAATTTAATTTTTGGATTGAAACAGCTTGTTTATGTAATCAACAAATCGATTATTTTATTAAATCATTTCAAACACGTACGTAAACTATTGTTCTTATTACATTCATTTGTCTTTATCTGATGATGTAATAATCTGTTTCATTCAGTATTCTGTGTGATTAATATTTTTGATTATGATCACCTAATTAGTAGAAAACCATAGGCGATGTCTAAAGAAAGAAAAAGATATGCATATATATCTTCGACATGATTGTTTGTTTGAAAATTTAAGTCAGCAACATTCCAAGACTTTTTTAACTTTAATTATTCACTATGCGTTTAGAAAAAACAATCGACAATAGTCTTACCTATGATCGAAGAAGCGACTGAAATTTTCATATATTTTTCTTTCGATGTTTATGACACAATCTACAAAAAATGTTTATGAAGAATTCAAGCAATTGAGCAATAATAGTTCTGTATTATATGTTAATCTTTCGTCGAGAATTACTGTTTGTTAACTAATACGTATATCGATGAACATTTCTATGGCTTGTTGACTGTTGAAAAAGTATTGGATCAATCAAAATTGTCTTTAGCAGCATCTTACCCTGCTAATAGTAGCCGAAAATACAGACTATCTTCTTGTGCTTTTGATTTGATATAGTAGTTTAAAATAAATAGTTCATTTTAAAATTTAGTAGCTGTTAATCGAATTTTGTTTTCAGAATATTGGCTATCTATGTTAGTTGGATTGTATTATGATAAATTGAACTGTGTTTATGTCATTTTTTCATTACCTTATGGATTTTTTGATTATTTTGTAACCACCACGGATATCATCAATACACAATTCAATCAGACTGGATATCAACTTAACGATTTAGTACCAATGCTATTTGCAAAACCTCATCAAGTATCTGTAAAGATTGGTCAAAATGAAACATTAAGATCATCATTTATGGCTTTGTTAAAACAAGGAACTTATCGAGGTAAACATTTTCTTATCAATACTTGCTTTTTCTACAAGGTAAAATTATTTCTAAAAATAGGACATAGAATACATATTCAACATCGTGGTTTTTATCAATTGCAACAAGATGAAAACAATATGATGCCATTTGATGAATTTTTACTGTTGCCATATTATAACACTCAGAAGAGTAATTATACGAGATTTTCTTTCAGTTTTATTGATTAGCCTTAGGTAGAATTCTTTTTTTTAAATATTGTTTATTTAAACAAGAATATTTGTAAGAAAAACCAGTAGATTTATTTTTTTTTATTAATTCTAAATAAGAATACTCGTCATTATGCATCAGATTGATTTTTAATTCTGAATAATTTTACAGTTTTCATTCTAAAATAACGGATGCATTTTGATAAATGGTTCATTTTCATTTCTATGTTTGAGTTATCTAATCCTTATTTAAAGGTTTGATTCTGATCTTGCTGGATAAAGAATTCAATTCGCTACAAAACTGATAATTTTAACTGTCAAATATATTTTTCAAGATGACATAAATTTCATGAGATTAACACCCATTGAATAGACAAACTACAATGTCCTATTTTTCTAGAAATAAACATTATTTGTGTGAGAATGTACTTATCAAGACTAGTGCTAAAAAAAAGTATTGTTTAACAAAACATAAAGAATTTTTTCGCCTTTTTGAACAATTTCGAGATGGTTTTGAGTAATTTTGTTCAGAAAAATAAAAGTTTTCAATTAATACCTTATGTTGGTTTTTTGAATGCACGATGAAAAGTAATATTTTTACAAGCCAAACATAAACTATTATAAAATATTCAATCTTGTACGATCGGATGCAGAATTTAAATTTGTACAAAACAATGTGTTTATATGGAAAAATGATATCTTCAAATTGTTGTGAACCACTATAAGACATGAGCTACTTCGAACGGAACTCTTTTTTTTTAGGATGTTTCGATATATTTTATATCAAATTTTTTCTTTTCAAATATCAATTCAGAAACTCTAAAAGTTACATTAGTATTTGCAGAAGTTTGCCTAGAATATTTTAGCATAGTTCTAATGCCAGTAGATCACTTTTTTTAAAATTCTATATGGTTTTTTTCGATGTTTTTATTTTTACATCTGTATGATTAAGTAGCGTTAATATCGTTAACGTTACACTCTAGCATGAGAAAACTACTTGATTTAAATCCTCAAAGATAAAAATGAAAATAAGCCATCTATTGCGAAACATCCTTTATAAATGTATTTTATAGGTGAAGAACTTATTAACACGACTATGTCTTGGTTCAATTGGATGCCACATCTACGATTATTGCGCATCGATTCACAAATGTTATTAAAGCTTGTACCAACAATAAATCTTACTGGTACAATTGATCAATTTTCATCTCTCGAAAAACTTATTGTCGATGAACTAAATAACACTCCAGATGACGACACTTTAAATACCATTGCTCGATTAGGTGTATCATCATCGTTGAAAACCATTTATGTTCACGAATATATAATGTTGAATTTTCAATCAATCGATGACAACAATTTTCTTTTGACTATTTGTCAAATTTGTTGCAACATGCATAAATTGGAAACGATGACAATTAAATTTGCAAGTTCACATTTATTATCCAATAGTATAATGCTGGAAGAGCTTGCTGGTACTGAAAAGAAAAACTGTCAATTCGAATGTATTTATGTTTCAGACAGTTTTATTCAATTTTGGCTTGACAAATGATAGAAGTTATGATATTCTCTTGTCCTAATTTGTCTACAGAAAAATTTACTTTACTTCAAATCTATTTATTGTTCTCATTCATAAATTCAATCATTCTTAACTGTTAAATAGAAGCAATCTACGTCTATAGAGTTATTGACTAGAAGAAATCAACGTCAAGCTTTTAATTATTCATATTTAATAGCAATTCTTTTTTCATTATTAGTTTTCCATTTGGTTCTCGTCAAAATATGCACATCAAAGTTGAAACTGATGTAAATTTTCTCGATCAGATAGTTCCATACGGATCCATAGTGAGTTAAAAGGTAAATTTTCGAAATGGATTATTAAATGGAGCATTTGTTGTTTCAATTTTTGTTCGAGTTTGTTTTATTTCTTCAAATGATGATGAAAATGAAATAGTTGACGACGATGATGATAAAATAGAAGTATTATTTAATGATGAAATATTTGTTTTTTTCATATGTTTTTCTTTTTGTTGTTCATCTTTGTTGTGTTCAATTAAATCATCAATTATTTTTTGAGCTAATGTTAATTTTCCTGATTTTGTTGCATATTTAATTGCTAATTGAAGTGCTATTGAATCCATTAATTGACAAATTTCAAATGCCCGATATTCTCGATTTGATTTACATGATAACTAAAACAAATACAAAAAATAAATTCATTTAAAAAAAAAAAAACTTTATTTCTAAACTTACAGCAAACATTTTAATTAAACATTGTCTTTCATTATTTAAATATTCATCATTATCTGTTGTATGATTAAATAATTTTATTTTAAGATAATCACTCTAACAAAGAAAAACAAACAAAATTAAAATTAAATTTAAAAAGAAATAAAATCTAACTTCAAATTGACTTTTTTCTGTATTTATTTCATATAAATATAATGGAATAGAAATAATTGAAACAATTGGCCATGGAACAAGTTCAGGATATGATTGACCACGAAGTTCAATAACACGTAATTGAAATTTTCCATTAAAATCATTTATTCCTAATAACCAATAATTTGTTATATTATTTTTCTCAGCCTAATTATTTCATAGAAAAAACAACACGACTTTTATTTTTCAAATAAATTTATAAAATAAAAACAAACTTCTTGTTTAAGATTAGAAATTAATAATGGTTCAAATTCATTTCCATTTGTACGTCTAAGCATACTTAAATAACTAGATTTTTCTAAATAATAAGGGTGTGGAGTGGGTGTGGGTGTGGGTGTGGGGTGTGGGTGTGGGTCTCTTAGAAATAACAGCCACACCCCACACCCTTCATCAATGAAACCAGTTCCCTTAATGTCAATCGGTGAGTCTATATCTTTTCTTTACTTTATTAATATAGCAATGATGATTATTTATGATTTATTTAGAAGTAAATGATCAATATTATAAAAGTTCAACAAGAGGTTATCCAGCACCAAGCAATAGTCAAAAAAATCGATATTGGTCTGTTGTTGATCTTGGTTTTCGACGTGATGTCAAGTATCGTCAACGACATGCACGAAATAATCGTCATACTTATCTTCATCAAAATCGAACAAGAATCACAAGATCACCAGTGAAAAACACAAGTAATAATATGATAAAATAAAACCATCAAGTTGCATTTGAGTCATCGTGATGAACGAAAATTGTTTTCGATAGTCTTTACGTACATATTGTGGTCAAAATTAAAATTTTAATGTTTAGTGGATAAAATCAAAATTCTTTTCTTAATGAAAAGGAAAAGATAAAATTTTGATCACAAAGCGTATGGATGTAGATAAGGATGCTTGCTTTTTTAGGGTGTGGGTATGGCCGTAGATGGATATGGAAGCAGCAAGATCCTATGGTTGTCAGTGTGTGGGTGTGGGAGTCGGTGTGAATAAAGAAAACATCCATATCCACAACCACTCCCTCTTCTTATTTTTTGTCACATACGAGTATTCATTTAAGCATTATTTTTTCTGAGTCCTGGGTTAAACAACGATCTATCATACATTTTAAAGGATCATATCCTTTCAGTAGAGGGTGGGCGACGTTCACGTCGTGTTACTTGTGCATTTTATTCAAATGATAGATAATTTGCTAGAAAAGTTATTTTATCAAACAAGGAAAATAGAGAATTACTTCATTAAATATTTTGTTTGTTCGGATTGATTACAATTGAGACGTGTTGCATCATTCGTAGATTTGTTCGTAACAGTCACTAATTTTTCATATTGTATCAAAAGTTTCTGAAAACATGGAACATATGTAATTACATGATGTAGAAATGGACGTGTATCGTATAATATCAAATCAATAACAAATTGAAAATGATGACCGCGAAAACTATTAGTAATCTAAGATATAATCGATAGAACAATTAACTGGAGAATATTTCCAATTCCTACATGTATTTTGAATATCAAAGGTTGATAAGAAATAATTTGTTTTCAAACTTAACACAATTGTACAACAAGAGATATTTCGAGGTCAATTATAAAGTGAAAGTTGGGCACATATCACCTTTTATACATTGATTCATATTCAACTAAAACAAATTTGTACAGATGACAAGAATACGTGCACATGTATCTGATCTGCTCTAGGAACAAGCGAACGATCGACGATCCTTCTAACACAATGATAATAAAAGCGGACTATTCTTTACCTTTTAAATAATGTAAAAGTACGTTCGGTGGAAACATTAGGATATTCACAAGCAAGAAGGATACGTTCCATAGAAATCATCAATTCTTATCTGCTGCATCCATTAAACTATTGTCTATCTTTTCTATAAATTATCTAGAAAATCTAGCAACAAGTATCATCATAACAATATGAAAATAATTACAAACATATATCATGTCATATATGACTGGAAGCCAAAGAAAAGATTAAACAAATAGTAAGAATAGAAAACAAACGATTGTTTACTTCAAAAAAGCTTCGTATACAGCATTTGATTAAGATTTTCCATAAGATTGATAACAATTAACCATTGGTTCAAAATCGTTATATGCTTATTGAACAACTGTTTAATATCAGATTCAATTTAAAATCAAATGAAACTCACATAATACCACTGAACTTGTTCGACCTAGTATTTTTGTGAAACTATATTTATTTTATTAGCTAATAAAATTGTAATAAAATGATAAAAAATATATGATGTTTCTGAGCAAGTTTACGAGTTGCTTACGGTTATAATGTTAAGAGTTGATAAACAGATGCTTTTTGCTGTTTCAAAATAGTATTTTTGACTTTAATCGAAAAGTTTTTTAAAGGAATGAAACGCTTTTTCACGAAATAAATACAATAAATGAGTAACATCCTCAGGATAGTCCGTGCGGATTTAATACGATGCACATTACGTACTTGCAGTCTGTGTCGTATGAACTGACACATATATTAAGTGTACTATGGTCTTCTCAAAGTACAGTAAACACAATCCTTGAGGAATACAACGTCTATGGAGCACCGTGTGGGGTCAAAGAAATAGAGAATCGTTTTCAGATAGTAGATTGCAAGAATTTTTGTAGATATTTCCTTTCATATTGTTTGACCTTGCTTTTTTTCTAATTATTTAAGCTAATGTTTTATTGTTCCTTATGATCATCTTTAATATTTTTAGTGTATTGTTATCGACCCTTTCTTAATTGTTAAATGTATTTTCTTTCTAACAAAATACATCTTTCTCAATAAGTGTCTTATCCCAACAAAAAGAAAAGCTTTTGAATATGTTGTGTCTATAGTCATTTTTATAACTGGCTCTTTTCCAGCATCGATAAGTCTGGCGTCTTGCCTGTAAAAAACACTATACGTCAAATATATCAAATTCTTTATTTCTTTGCAATCTAGACGCAAGAGTTGTTTGTAAATATTCTTCTTTTTGCAATTTTTTCTACTTTGAGATTTTTGTTACTAAGAAATGAATGGTAACAATTCAATCAAAATTGTAACTTCTTTATCTCAATTATTTTATTTTGTTTTAACTGATTTCTATCAATCATTGTATTCTGTGGTCTTTATTACCTATAACTTTTGTGAATTGTATAATCATAGAATATGCTAGTAAATAGCCATTTTGAAAAAAGTAAATCAAACACATATGTTTATTTCTTTATTCAATTAAGTCTTTATTAATCAGTTGATCTTTAATATGCATCGCAACAATGAGAATAATTGTTAAAATGCAATCAATTCGTTCATTTATATGCATTTTTCATTTTTTCCAGAAAGACATTTTTTTTACAGACGAACACGCTTGTTGTATTCTGTTATTGATTAATAAAATATTTTTCTAAACATTTTCTTCTAACATATACTTTAGCCGTATTCAAAATACTACATGAGTTTTATAATTAGTTGACATGAATTAATGGTAAAAAAATGTGTTTCAAAGTACACTACAGAATTCTAATTCTAACCGCAAACTGGAAATCGATACAGAGAAGCAATCTATACATTTGGGTAATCACCTTAAAAAAAAAATCATTCTTCAGAAGGTAAATATTTCTCTCTAAAAAGATAGTTTTTTTTTGGCTATAAAAATCCCTTTAGATCTTTATATGCATATTTTATAGAAAACCAATCTTTCAGACTAGCAAATTTTTCGTCAAGAAATTCTTTTTATTTGTCTAGATTATAGAACATATCAAATTCCTTAGAAAACAGCAACGTTTTCTGTTTCAAATCTTTTTTTTGTAGAAAATACAATCATTTTAAGCCTCTTTCTCCTATAAAACACATTGATTTTCAATTGCGAACTTTGTTTGACGTGGTTCTCAAAACGATTTTTCTGCTACTTTTGCGTCCCATAGTTCTCAACCATTTACATGCTAGGAAGTACAGAAGAGTGTTTAATTGAAGAGAAAACTGTTCCACAATTTATCAGAGCCGAATTCTTATTTTCGAATTAATTCTTGAGAAAATGAATCTTTTTCTACAGATATATTCCTGCTTTTTTTTGAGCATTTAAAAAAAGCTGACGCCAAAATTTGATAAAGAAGATATTGAAAAATTGACTTCTGTTTAGATGTAGCGGCAAGTATTGACTACAATTTGGTGCCAACCCGAGATTTGTATCATAAGATTTGAGACAAGATCGAGGACACGCGAATGGCTACTTTTTGATTCTTAGCAGAAGGATAACTCTAGAAAGACTCAATATTTTGGGTTGAAATTTTCAGCTAGATTGGTTGCCCTGGATCGAAAATAGGTTTTTATGGAGGGAAGACTTACATCATACTATTCGACTTAAAATTCATTTTTGAAAAATGTTAACCTGGAGCACCAATATCTAGTAGGTTTTGATGAGAAAGTGATTGATTAATTGAAAATATTCTCTCGGATGCAAATATAACTGTTGTACGATATACATAGAATGAGTAAGTCATTGACTACTGTAGTTGACTTCTACGGTTATCATTGATGGAAATAAACTAAATTGTATAAAGTTTATTTTCACCAGCGGTATTTTTTAAGTGACAGAGAAAAGCTTGCTTTTAATTTTGATGTACTATTATTAACTTTAATGATAACATTAACAGATTAGAATGTCTTCAATAGATCGTTGACTATCAGCGTTATAAATAAAGAAATACTGTAACGGTATAGTTGAAGGATAATAGTAGAACGGAACACATGTCAGAGTGAGACTTCAACTTATTATTATTAAGAATGACTCATCAAGAGTAATACTATATGATTGTCATCGGAAATTGTCTCATAAACAATATCAAATAGTCGTTTCATCTTTGGAAAATATCATCGTTGTTAAAGTCTCTTTATTGAAACAGATAGCATCCATATTTCACCTGCGTCTGAGAAAATTCATTGAATTACAAAACGATGATCTTCAATAATTTTCATGATAGTGTTTTTTTTCTGGTTCAATCAAAATGCTATTGAAAAGTCATACAAGATTTTCTTTAAGAAACATTATTGTCTGGAGTTAATCATACAAGATAAATATACGTATATCTAGATTACTTTGAAGAAAAACAAAAAGTATGATCCTTTTTTTAATGTTTCCTCACAGGTATCACTGAGAATGACAATGCAAACTAAACATCATGTAGAGTATGCAATAAAAAGATCTTTTTTTGCTAACGATATAACCATTTTGTATTGGTCTCTGAAATTACTAAATTTAATATATGAGCTGCCTATAACGTGTACAGACGGAGATATATTCAAATTTGAAAGTATTTCCAGTGAAATGTAATGTATTCACAATTCGAAATTTTAGCAGTACTTGTTTTTCATTTCTCGTTATACTTGGATAGAATTCGTTGAGTTACATAAGAAAAAATATTTTTCAAATATAAAGCAAAGTAGAACTAGAAATTCTAATTTTCGTAAAAGTTTCTTATTTATATTTGAAAAATCCTTTTTTCTAGGTTACTCGACGAGATTTATCCAACTATGATAAAAGAAGTAATAAATACTGCTGAAATTTCGAATTGTGGACATTTTTATATACTAGAAATATCTTCAAATTTGAATACTTTAGTCTGTGCTCGCTTTGGGTAGGTCATGCTAAATTTGTTAGTATGGCAATGAGAGTAACAATTTGATTTGACGTTTAGAGCAAATTTTATGTTTAAATTTATCAAAAACTGAACTTTGTACAGTTTGTATTTCGCTTTAAATTTATTCGCAATTTCAATAGTTTCTTCTACTATTTGAATTCATTGTTTATGATCAACATTTACTTGTTTTTCTCACAAAATCTCATTAAGATTATGCTAACTTGAGGGTGTGGGTGTGAGCGAGGGTGGGAATGAGCGTATGGTTGTGGGTGTAGAGGTAGGGGCGGGGAGGGATCAGACTATGGATCTACTATTGATCAACAGACGTACCAACATCAACACACACACCCAAACACATCTACACCCACACTCACACACATTCACACCGACATTACCCCACACCCACATTGACATCATTGAGATGAAACTCGCAGAACTCAAGAATCATCTGTCATGTCGAAATCTACAGAGCATAGAGCTCATCTAGCTCCATCGTTATTGCGGCTTATCATTGTAATTTCACATTATTTACTGTTTCTGTGTTGCTTTTAAACAGCAGCATTGTTTTTCGCATCATGATTATGTAACATTATCACAATTAGTCAGTGTATGTTTGTTCTGTTTTATTTTTTTGTTTTGTTAGAAGGCTATGATGTACGTTGAAAGGACACATCAGCATTGTGAAGATAACGAATATTGACACAAAACTGTGAGTCGCGTTTGAATTAGATAACGAGGTTCGATTATTACCGTAGAAGTTGCCTTTGGAAATCTCTATTCAAAAATAAAATCGTTTCTATCAACCAAATCTGTGTATAGATTAAGCAATGTCTGGTGCTGTTCTTGAACCAAGAGCATCATCTTCATCGTTTGTAGAATCGGATTGCATTGTCATTGAGATGGATGATGAAACACTTGCTTTAGCAGAAGCCGAAAAACAAAATGAAATCATTGCACTCAACGAAGCAGACGGACAATGGAAATTGAATTTAAGTGATGGTTTTTACAGACAATGGGATAGAGTCATAGCTGCATTGACTACTGACACTAATGAAGATTCTAATCAAGCTTCAATTGATAGAAACACTTGCTCGCTAGATGATTGGACTTATTTAATAGAAGATAAAGTTTTCATTGTTAGTCTTTTGGGTAATACATCAAGTGGCAAAAGTTTTGTGGCACGACATTTACTCAATGATTCGCAAGATTGTAATACCATCAATGGCCCAGTGTGCATCGATGAACCGGAGAAGAAAGGTGCGACTACGGTAAATATTAATTGTTATGTGAGCGAATCCAAGACAAATCAAAAGACTCTTGTCTTAGATTATGAAGGTGAAAAGGGTTCAGCATTTCCATTGCTTCACTATGCTCGACAAAGTCTTCGACATTTGTCAAGGACAGCGGACCAAGCGCATCATCGTCGACAAGCAGTGGCTGATTACTTCCCCAAACTAGCCTATATTTTAAGTGATGTTGTCATTTTACTAGGCAACGATGATCTTGCTTGCACTGATTATCTAACTCGTTGTCGCGAGTTTGTATTGAAAGCGAATGATGGAGTCAGTCAAATGGTCGATCGGCCACTGCTGATTATTGTACAAAACAAAGCATCAATAGCTCAATCGTTGAGCTATGATGTAGTGACGAGAAAATTTTTTGAGATTCATGGACAAGAAGCAGCCGATCTGAGAATATATTTTTCGGGTATCAAGTGTTTTTGTTTACCGCATAAAGAACAGCTTCAGCGTACCAAAACTGGCATATTGGATGGAAAAGAAATTTTCGATCGACATATGGCTGATTTGAAAGGTATTTTTTCAGCTCTTCATAATCATAAAACTAAACAATTATTAACGCATGCTCAATGGTTATATTTACTCCATAGTGTTTTGCCCATAGTTCAAAGTGGAAAATCAGTTTCATTACACACACTTCTGAACGAAATTGTTGCTCATGATGATAACCAGATGATTGAAATAAGTAGACGTTGTTTTCTCTATTTCTATAACTTAAGACCGATTCATACACCTGCATGGTTTGATAATTGTTGTCGTTTTGCTATTCGTGTCTTAGCTCATCTTCTGGCTGTCAAAGCTTACGATCAACGAGAATTAATGTCAGAACGAATCATTCACGAACAGTGTGAGAAAGCAGTAGAACAACTATCTAATAAACTGGATGAATTTCAACCATGTGAGGCGCTCTACAATGGAAAAGGTCGTTCGTCAAGAAATCAAGATAATGAATCGCCTATTTTCTGTTATCAACATAAAGGTGCACACGAAGGTGGTCATCGAACGTGTCAATCTGTATATGGATTGACTCAATGGAAAAAATTCTGGAATTGGTCTTCGACTGACGTCTGGCCTGGTGAGTTCGTATCGTCGGCTAGACAAGAAATGACAAGTATTATTTTTTCCGACAGCATTATCAAGGATTTGTCGTATCGCGTCAGAGAGCAAATGAATGCTTTTCGAGAAGATCCAGAAGCTACCTATTATCTATTCACGGATCTCTTGTTAAGTAGTCAGTTTTCAGAAGAACCCTTGGAAATATTCAGACGCGTTTGTTTCTGTGGATCATGCTCAACCTCAACTTTCGTTGGTTCGAATGCTTTTGAACATCACACTAGAAGATTTCAATTAAGTCCAATAACATTGGTGCGAAACTTGCTCTTGATTTCGTCATCCCAATCAAATGGCAGTGACTGGGTTGCATGTAGCAAATGTTATCGAAAACTTGACGCTGCCTGGAATAGATTTTCCACTAGTCGTAGTCCTCCATTTGCTCATACATCTTTGCTACCTCCTAAAGAGGTACCTGACTGTTCTATTTGTTTCGATGGTAAACGTGATTTCCTCTTCATTCCTTGTGGTCATCGAGGTTTCTGCGAAAGTTGTGCCGATAAGATTCTTGGCGAGCAGGCTTCTTGTCCATTTTGTCGATCGTCGATCAGTGGAAAACAACGTGTTCATGATGTTTGACATTTTCGTCATCCTGCTTTAACAGAGAAAAACCGAACTTTTAGGGTGTGACTGTGTGGCTCTAAGTCTGAGTGTGGGTCTGGGTTTGGATCTGGCTGTGTGGGTGTGGGTATTTCGTTTCTTCATCCGCGCTCACACCCCACACTCACACCCTCGAGTCGCAAGAGTGCAATTGCTTTTAGTTATACTAATATATCCTATTGATCAGCAAAATATAAAATTAAACAGAATAAGACATTTTAAAAAGTTTCCTTGTTAGTGTTCAGTTATCATTTTTGTATACATTTTTGTACAAAATATATTGTGTCAACTAATCATATAACATCGAAGTTAATGAAACGACACGAAAATTATTTTTCCAAAACTGGGATAAACTATTAGCCTCTAGCATCTATTCGAATTCAGACTCAAATGTTTATAAAATCATTAAAAAACTATATTCATAGGTAACCATAAAATGATTCAAGCGCATAGATCTTCTCTACAGAGTGATAACAATTTCATGGTTTTATATTGTGAAGTGGATTAATACCTAAAATAATTGTTCCCAAGGTACTTCTGATTTTTTTGATGGTCACTGAATGATTAAAAAAACAATTAACCGTTTTCATTGAAAATTTTATCACTCTTTTATAATTACAAGACGTATTTATAGACAATATTTCAGATCAATAATTTTCTGTTAAATTTTTCTGCCATCACCTTATTCTATGATACAAAAAACTATCATCACTTTGTAAAGAAGACCTATAGTTCTCAATCTTACATGAATTTGTTATAAACGAAGGTAAATCAATTTACCAAAATTTTGAATATCATTTTGAAATAGTTCAAGTATAACTAGATATAAACCTGTATTAGCAATACATAATAAACATTCAAAAAATTTTAATGGACGCTTAATTAATACCAATAGAATTTTCATTAAAAGAACAAACAAATCTGGTCTCTTTTGTCATTACCATGACCATGTTTCTTTTGTATCATTAAGTGAATGTTAAAGACAATCAATTAAAACAGAATGAGCTGAATGATTACCAAAACAAAATGCATTCGAATAACGAACTGCTTGAGCAAGTTGTGATAACTATCAAAAAAATACAAATGAATATGTAATTTTTATTTTTGTTTTTAATTTTCACAATTATCATTCAACATTATACCAATGTCGATAAAGTGAATCAATATATTGTTCAGTTGGGCATGCTCGACGAAATACTGTTACAAGTAATATAAGAGCTTCTTTTACAACATCTTTCCAATTTACAGTTGATACCCACAAAGATAAATTTGTTGTCAAAGAAAAAAAACGAATTTTTTATGAATTTTATAACAAACCATTTATTGCTATTACAAATGTGTCAGCAATCCATATTTGTGATAAACTTTTATTATAACTTGCTAGCCCTATTTCGTTCGAGATTTTTTTTTTAATTTCTATTTTTTTATGTACACAAATCGATGCATTTTCAGTAAGGTCTAAATGAGTTTCAATCACACATACAAGTATTCGTGTAATTGGCGATGATTTTAATTCTTGTAAGTCAAAATGAACTAATACATGTCGACAATGTTCCATTGATGATGTAAACTGATAACCCACTTCAAGAATGACATCAGACAATATTCCATCCACTTTGCCATCTAAAAAGTCAATAATAAATTTTGTTTTTACAAATAAAATCTCTTCATTTCTTCATACCACAGATGTTAAAAGATTACTAAAATCAGATACTATTTGTGTAGATGTAAGATCATTTAAAACAATATTTGATAGATAAAATATGTGAAGAAGAATTCATAAATTATTATCGCCCATTCGTTTAATCGATTACTCTAAAAGATGATTTTTAATTAAATCGTTAAACTTTTCGAATGTAACAGTTAAAAAACCTTTTCATAGTAAATTTAGTCGTTGTTTGAATATGTTCATTAAAATTAATAAAATAAAAAATAACATCAATTTCTTATCTGTATTACCAATAATCCTTTATCCGAGTGAATTCAATCGTTAGAGACCCGAAACAAAACAAAAGAAAAATAGACAAAATTCTTGACTTTATATATTTTTTACATGTCCCGTTTTTGTTTATATTCTTCATATGATCTCTCTCAAAAAGTGTTTGGATAATATCCAACAAGATTTTAAACTTTTCATCTCTTAGAAAAAACAAGTTTCATGTGTTGGTTCATCTAACATTTTTACATGTAATATAACTATTTACCCTACATCGATAATAATTATTATTTGGTTTGAACGAGTGAATAATATCTTTAATATCATACGATAATAATAATGATGCTGTGTTTTGATCCATAGCTGTAGGATAATTTCGTTTTGTAATATTAATTTTTTTACTTTCTTTTTTGTTATTTTTAAATATAAATGTTTCTAAAAGACTTTGATTTTAAAGTAAAATAAATGTAATATGCTCGAATATTGAGTTGGTATGAGCATCGACCATAAATATCAAAAATATATAAAACTTACAATGAAGATTAATCGATAGTTTAAATAGTAAATGTATCATGAAACTGATATCTAGAGTGTTGATGATTTTATCAAAATGTTGACTTACGTTAAATATGTTTTGGGTTCATGGCAATAATTCGTCTCGACAATCGTTATAAAAATAAATAAACTTTAGTATGTGACATTTTTTCTTGAATATTCCATGATTTTGAATGTGTGTGGGTTTTTCGTCTGTTGTACGCTCATGACTGATCATGTGAGCCAGAGTTGTCTTCTTTTTCTTTCGTTCTTTTCTACTCATGTTCTGTTAGGACAGTAGAACATGTGAGAGAGAGAGGAATTTTCTTTTTCCTTTCACTCGCCTCCTCAGTCATCGCTCATATTATTGTTGACGATCAATGGTCATATGCATAATTGGTATGTCGATCAATTAAACTTTATCTACATCAGGATTGCCAACTGTACCCCACAAAAATCTGTATCCCTGGGGTACACATTTCGTACTCCCATTTGGATGTTTTCTGTTACCTAGTGTCATTTTTTATAGGGATATGAAGCCTAAATCATATTGGCTAGATAGTAACTAGTGATTGTAGGCAACCGTTGCATCCGTTCAAACTTGGGTTTCTTTGCTTTTTTTTTCTTACTTCTCAATTTCACGCCAAAGTTAAGTCGAATGCTTGATGGATTTTTCAAGAAAGAAAACTAGATTTTAGTCTACAAAAATCTATTTGACGAACCACATCTCGAAAGCTACATATTAGTTCCAAAAGTTGGAAAGTATTTTCAAAATTTTAGCTTGATCAGTATACTTGAAAGTTAACTGGAGAAACATATCTTGATCAAGAAAAGTGAAACTCCCACGGAAAACGTATTTCGATTGTGAAAACTCCCAAGAAAATAAAGTCTTGATTGATAAATGTGAAAGTTGTGCTTCTATCGAGACAACTAAAATCATCTCGAAAAATATTTTCATGGACAATGTTGGAAACGTGCTCAAATTAGTGCTACGGATGCTTACTGCAGTAATATTATGGAAGGCGTCTCGGAATATAATAATTAGATACTATCCATTGTGCAAAAATTCTCTTTGAAATCCAGCAAAATCCAGTGAGATAAAAAAAATCTAGTTTTCTCCCTTGAGTTTTGAGATTTTTCTCTTGTTTTCGAACAGTCATGTTTACTCGGCTTGATTTATCTTCGAAAGGCTAAAAAAATTATTTTTGACTGTAATTTTGACTAAATGAACAACGACGGCCTGATCCATTCACACGTCACGATCGTAGAAGAAAGCAAAGCAGCAGCTCAGCACAAATTCGAGAATACAACAACCTCGTTGAAACATGTCTCGCACAAGGAAACTTAAATATAGCCTCTCCTTTACTAAAAAGAGCATTTACTCCAGCCGCTTTTTCGCGTCATACTCTTGAATTTATCGCAATGTATATACGTGTCCCGAAGAAAGCTTAATTGAAATCAGCTTCCAATTAGTTTTGAAAGAAAAAAAAAATAATGAAATTTTTCTCTCCCCCCGAAAAAAAAACTTTTTCAGGATATAAAAATGAATGATTTCTAACGATGAAATCATTCAATTATTTGAATCAAATAACAATAATCTTTCTTTTTATATTTTAGATTGGCTTCGTTGATACAGTCGAGTTCACTTATAAGAGCTCTGGATAACGGAGCGATCCGTCTGTAAGAGCCGTTTTTAAATTTCCCGTTTTTTTCTCCATTGTTTTGTGTGCTGACAAAGTCCGCTTAAAAGAGCCTCCGATAAGGAAGCGGTCCGCTTATAAGAGCGTAGTTTCGGCACCTTTTTGCGATTTGAGTCCGCATAAAAGAGCCATATCGCTTTTTGAAATGGATGTCTGCTCTGTGGCAGACAAGAATTTCGATAGTTGCTCGAAAACTTGTAGAATTGTCTGTTCTTTGCCTGATGATGACACATGTTTGTGTTGAAAGCTTGCAATAAAATGAACTTTCTATACGTATTCACTTTCATCTTTCGGTAATCGATTATGTGAAATCCGTCGATATTTTAAAAGCGTTGCATGTGCTCAAGCGAGCTTGGCTTCTCGTTTCGCCCACTACGATCGAAAACTGTTTTCGAAAAGCCGGGTTTTTTGTTAGTGACGTGGACGAAATGCAGAAGGTTTTGGATGTGTCAGAATTCGGCGAAGCCATACAAGAAGAAGATTTCGAGACGTTCGTCCACTGCAATAAGGATGCCGAATGTTTTGCAAATCTCACGGATGCCAAAATTTACGATTCGGTGAAACAAAATCGAGAAGAAATGGCCGATTTAGAAGAAGAAAAAGAAGCCGGAATTGTTCATGAACTGATGCCACGTGTCTCTCATAAAGATGCGCTGATGCATCTTTCGATGGTTCTCAAGTATTTGGAAGAGAATTATAAAGAGTATAATTCATATTATGATATCGAAGACATGATCGAAAAAAACGCTTTCATTAATCGTACTCAAAGTAAGATTACGGATTTCTTCAAGTAAATTTATGTATGCCTATGTACTACTTAATAAATGTTGACAGAAATCAATTTTTGCACTGTTTTACATATAGTTCGGATAAAGGAGCGGTCCGCATATAAGAGCCTCTTTTAGAGTTCCCGACAGCGCTCTTATAAGCGGATTCGACTGTAGAATATGGAACAAATCAACAGGAACAAGATCATAAAATAAAAGGTTCGTATTAGTTTATCTTTTTCTTTTCTTTTCTTTAAGATTATGAGGATGGCCGTAAGTCCACCTCTAATCTTTTTAATGCATGTTTTCTTTTTAATTTCAGGGAATGAACATTAACAAAAATATGGCAGGAGGTAAGCTATTTTTTTTTCTTTTCTATATTTATTTCATTTATTAATTTTTTTTTCTTTCCGTTAAGTCCTTGACATCATCGCGTTGTCGTTCAACAACAAGCAAGGAAAGTAATGTTTTTCTTTCAGTATGAGAATAGAAGAGGCTTAGACAAGTGATTGCTAATAGATGGGGGAGGGTGAATTCTGTCCATTGAGGTTCGACCCCTATTTTCTGAAGGACTTTCGAGTAGTCGTTAAAAGCTCGGCCAGGAACTGCTCTGGTGTCCGTGGCACACGGCCGAGCCTCCAAACCCACTGACACATGACATCGAATGGGTGCATGTGGATGACGTGAGTCTTCCAGCGCGTGCTAATAGAATAAGCATTCCTTTCATCAATTCAACGTGAATTTATTTGAAAGGAAAGGAAAGAAAAGAATAATCCAACACAATAAGTTCATTCGATTGAAAATCGTTGAACACGATTATTGTAGTGATCGACGACATAGAGATTGCCTTGCAGGTCGATAGACAAACCCCGCAGACCGTTGAACTGATTTGCTCTTGCTCCTTCACCATTTCCGCCCACAATGACAGTGCCTTGTTTCGCTCCTTTAGGCCAACACATCACTCGATCATTCCCACAGTCTGCCACATAGATGGTATCCAACCTATCGACGAACAGTCCATTAGGATACGACAATTGTGTAAGAGCATTTCCTTCGCCTTGGCCACCAGCGACGATAATTCCTTCTTTTGCACCTTTATGCCATTTCATCACACGATGATTTCCGTTGTCTGACACGTAGACAGTCTGTTGTTGATCGACAAATATGTAGTTCGGATCGTTGAGTTGATTGAGACCAGCATTCTTCCCGTTGCCACCAGCCACGACAGTTCCCTTCTTATGTCCTATTTGATATCGTCTTACTTCCTGTTTTTTGACGTCAGAGATGTAGAGATATCTCTGATCATCCAGCGCCAATCCGTAACAATCGATGTTGTCAATGAGAATCTCTCCTTGTGTTGTGCTATTACGACGAGACCATCGTACAACTCGTCGATTCTCTTGATCACATATAATGAGACTATCCGTCACTTTGTCGATCAACACATCGGCTGGTCGATTCAATTGATCCAATCGATTTTCTTGGCCATTGCCACCAGCTACTATTTGTCCACTCGTTGCACCCATCTTCCATTGGATGATGCGATCATTGACGCAGTCAGCGATGACAACCGTTTCGTCATCATCAATAAAGAGACCTTCAGGGTCCCAGAGTTGATTTGTGCTACTTCCATATCCATGTCCTCCAGCAACGGTAACTCCATTCGGTGTCCATCGAGCTTTGGCTGGAGTATTGGGAACCACTAGAATGAACGAGAAAAAGAAAAGAAAATCATCATTGCCGTTGTCTATGAATAAGATATTCTTCTTCTTCTTCGAAGAGAACTTGATAGAACTTTCGAGAATGTCCTTCTCTAACATACTCTAAACAAGAAAAGGTTCTCTAACGAGGGAATAGTCCCAACTGATCCGCACTGTTTGAGTTCGCATTTTGTTGGTGGCTAGGCTTCATTACGTATATGAACTACCTAAAATCCCTCGTGCCGTTGCTGCTGAGTTTCAAAGTTGTGAGTGAAACAAGTCGTTTAATAGATTTCATCACTATTAATATGATATTTTTTTTGTTCTTCTCATATATTAGCTAGGATGTACACTTTTATACCTTTTTCGCTTGAACTCAATGAGATAAGCTAGCAGTAAAAAACTCAAGAAACAAACTGTACCATAGTTAAGATATGGAAAGAACAAAAAAAATAGCACATAGATAGTGGCACTATCTATCAAATCAGCTGTTTCGCTAATAACTCTGAAACCAAGCAGCAATGGCACGAAAGCTTTTAGGTGGTTCATATACATAATGAAGCCTAGCCACCAACAATATGTGAACTCGAACGGTGCGGATCAGTTGGGAATGTTCCCTCGTCAGTGAAACTAAGAATACTATAAACGGCTTTGAATCTATGTGTCGTCATTCGGTTACAGTAATGACTGTTTTAGCGGGTTTTCGGCTTATCAGCTAGTTATTTATTGAAAACTCAATTACGCGAATTCTATCTTCAATGTTGAACATAGCTAATTACAGTTCATGCTCATCAGAATACCGTAAAAGTTTTAGCGCTAAAAACAAGCCATACAATGAAGTTTTCTTAAGCACTTGATATATCGAGAAAACAAATATATTCGTTTGAGTAGAGATTTTTAAAGTATTCTAGTGACTGTGAAGTCTGTTGGTTGAATAACACATGCATCCAAATCGTTTTCTTTTGTACGATTTTGTAAAAAATTGTCGTTGTTACTTCTATTCGCCAGAGGACAGCGGTCGCTGGATCCCAGAACTACTGGATGATCAATTAGTCACACCCTCAATCTTACATCACTTGGAGATCGGCTTGACTCGTGTTTTTCTCTTAACCTAAATTGAGCCGAATGATTATCATCTAAATTCCTGCTTGTAAAATAAAAACCTCTCCATATCAAAAGGTCGCCCGCATGAGCAATGTCTTCGATATAATAAGGAGAATCTATCGCAGTTATTTAATTAGTTATAAGAATTGACTATTACGTAAATACTTGTCTCTCTAAAAAATATAACTCGTTTATTAACAATCTTGTTTTTCTTAGACCAAGAAAGACAAGAAACTGTATGAATACTTCCATTGTTACTTGTCTTAACTTACATATCGATATACTAATCTAAACGATGTCAATTTAATTAAGCACCGAATCGTGACCATCTGTGAAGTCATCCTTACGTAGCTGAGAGTCTGTCACAGAAGAAAGAAATGTGTATTGCTGGCATTGTCTGAAAATCTCAACTAGTCGACGAAGCCATTTCGAGCTCAAGAATTGAATTTTCATATTACTTCAGTCCAGAGTATATCTATAAGTCTAATAAGTCTTTATTTGCTTTTCTTAACGAAAGATATGACTCTTATATATTAATGATTCATTCATTTCATAATATATTAAGCAAGTTGAGGTCATCGTAAATCAAACATGTGACTCAAAGAAATGTTACGAATCAATTACATAACAGGTTTTATACTTTGGTCCAGTTCAATAAATTTTTTTCTTTACTGTATGATTAACTGTCAAAGTAAACGAAGTTTAGGAAAATTAGGTCTCAATTATTGAATCTTGCAAACTGTTCTTAATTGAACTTGTTAAAATAGTTATTTCTTTTTTTTACATTTTGGTGGATGTGGGGTATGGGTGTGGGTGTGCGTGTGGCTATAAGCAAAGAGAGGAATGGCACCCACGCCCACACCTTCCAGAATGATCTCTTCTGATAAAATCCACGTGTAATCCGACTAAGTTTTGACGAAAGGCATGATTTCTAGAGCAGTTCGATGTCGAATCCACAGATTGGGCTCAGTCACTTGAGGGCATTAAAAACGATCAAATTCTATCGAACATTCTTTGATTGACGGAAATAATTTATGAGAAAAAATTTCATTCAAATATAAGCAAACATTATTTTGTATTTGTCGAAATCTCATTATTGGAATTTTCTTTTTATTGATTAAATACTTTAATACAATTATCTAATTTCTTTCGTTATCATACATATACTAGTCAGTATTCAGGCATTTTTTTATTATTTTACATATAGGTATCATACAAATTGTTATTTTCTTGAGAAAAAGTATTAAAAATAACTTACCCAATGTAGTTTTAGCTAATGGTTTTGCTGCTGCCAAGTGCATATCATTCATAGCTGATGCTAATGGTTGATCATCGTTGTCTTCAATTTCAATTAAATGTACGAGATGTGAGCCATTCGACTGCGTTAAAACATCGCTCTTCACGCGAAATTGTGAGCCCATTCGTAAAATAATTTCATCTTCTGTTTCAAATTCTGTATAACCAGAAACTTTTTTTCCATTAACAGCTTCAATTAAAAAAAGCGTTGCATTTTTGCCGTTGCCAATGAACTTTTCAATAACTTTGACTGATGACGAACATGAATTAATACTCCACCACGTCACAATTTGGTTTTTGGTGAAATTTTTACCAACATCAAGAGGTATACCTCTCCATATAACCTCTTTAACAGTAGGTAACTTATTCAACGCTGTATCAAATAATTTTAAATATGGAAACCATATCTTTAATGCTTGTCGATTTTCAGATCGTAGTGCTTTATTTAATACACGATACAAAGTAGTATCACCCCATTCCATTGTATAGATATACACAGCAGCTGATTGATCATGTGTTAGTCCATGTTCTGATGGAAAATGACAGCTGCGTTTAGCAATCTTTATGGAAGAAGGTAGTTCATCAATTTGAGGCTCGAGAGGCTCTAGTGCTTTTTCAATTGAAACAAGTTTTTCACTGCGATAACCATAAGCAGGCGAAAGTCTTTTAAATGAAACATCGATATCACCAAAACGATTCATCATGTACAGTTTTTATTTTCTGTTGAATGTTGATGAAAGTACAATTGTTACCAAACCGAAGTAACTGATAAAGATATTTTTGGTTTGTTTTTTTCTGTAGGACATTATAAAAAATATTTTATCAGTAATTTCTCTTGCTATACAATAATAAAAAAATAGATCATTTCTTTTTCTTTCGTAATACTCTGTTTGTAATACTGAGGGGAAGAGTATGAACACTCTCTGCAGAAAGACATTCATGCCTTGTTTTATTAAAGCTTTGTCTTCAAGTCATTTATATAAAGCTCTTAACTACTCAAAACGCACTGTATCATTCTCAAAAGACCAATCAGTGTAGGATAGCATTTTATGAGTTATAAAACAGATAAAATCACTGTGAAATCAACAATAATAATAAAAAACTTCGTGTGGTTAAGTCATTAGAACAAGCAGAAAAAGAGTCATGTACAGTTTTCGAAGATGATTCGATTAATTCTAAAAGTAAACGAAAATTCTCGAGAACAAATTATCGCTTTCAACAAAAACGTTATAGCAATAGGGTAGCTTGTTGCGAAGATGTATGAAATAATATTTGTCATAAAACGTAAGTATAAGTTCGATGATTACTATGACAGTACGGAGCTTAAGATATGAACGAAACTTCTCAATATGGTTTTCCAGAATCCGAAACTGATCAATGTGAGAATCAATTTAAATAAATGAACTGCTACAAATCAGTCAGAGAACGGCCGTCTAAAAAGGATAGATTCACTTCAGCTTGATTCATGACTTGAGAAGTTTTGAGGAGAAAATTATACTTTGGGTTGAATTGATACGTGTTTTTATGATGAGTACTCAAATATATAAAAAGAAAAAAGTTCACTCAATAATCAAATTTAATCTATTTCATTCATGTTAATGAGCTACGACATAACAAAGATTTTATTCTCTTATATATGACGTCTCTTTTATCTAGATATGTATACCAACACCAATTACTTTTTCTAGTTCGAATTTGAATGATAATAATTTTTCCATTGAAATGAATATAATTCTCAGTAGGCACGCATCAATTTTAGTTCAGCACTTTGAATTGTAATAAATCTATCAACTCTCATTAGTCTCAGTACATGCTGATGATCAAGTGTTGTTATTAGCATTGAATGGTTATGATCAGTTCTTTTGATATGAAGTAGAATCACTGAATGGCTTATTTTAACTTTGCACAGTTGAACGTGCCTCTGTAATTACAGCTCATCATCGATAAAATTAGCCACAGATATTTTATGCAGCATCTCAGCTATAGGCCATACTCATTACATCGAAGACTATGTGAATACTCTTCAAAATTGTTGTGTTTGCTTCCTCAAAGTTTTGAACTACTCATTCGTCATGCAAACAATCCGAGAAAACACTATTAGCGACTGTCATCAAGGGTGGGTGTGTGGGTGTAGGTGTTGATATGAAGTGCGAATATGTGGTTATGGGGTAGGTGTGTTGATTTATTGTATGCATGTGCGGGTGTTTGATGTCGGTTGTGGATATGGGTTGTGCACATGTTGATGTGGCACTTGAATGTAGTGGTTGACGGATTTGAGTGTGCTTGTGGTGTTGAGGTTCAATCACCAGTGCAGTTTATGATTTTTGGTGTGGGTGTGTCGTGGTGCTTGGATTCGGGTATGATCATGGGTATGCAGATGTCAATGTGGCTGGTTAAATAGTTGACGAGAAACGCTATGCTATAGCGACATCAACATTCTCACTGACATGATCATCGATAAGGACATCGATAGACGCACCCACAGTCATACTCACCACAACATCCATACTTAGACTCAGAGTCAAACTCAAACTCACATCCATCCTCCTATATACATTTTATATTAGTATGGATTGGGCTAGTAAACTAGTACTTATATTATACGGATAGCGTTGAACATTGAGTCGTAAGCACAAGGATTACTTGTTTACAATTTAAACTCGAAAAAATAAATGAACATGAGAACATTAATGATACAGCTTAAGATACCCTTCTCTCAAAAACCGATCTCAATCCAGCTATGTTCAAGTCGCATGGCATTTTCAGGATATGTTGGAGCTGTAGTAGAGGAGCTGTGGCAAAATTTTTAGCACGATATCATGACGTTTGACAGAGGTATTTGCCAACCAAGGATTAAAAATAGCTAATTTGTTATCTCAAATTTCTCTATCCAGGCTCATTCTATATATTTATTTTCTTTTTTTTTTTGAAAGAGCATGTCAAGATGCAAGGCATGATCGAGCTTTTTTCTTAAATACTTACATTTTAGGCGCAAAAAAGGAATCACAAGTTCAATTACTCAAAAATCACTAAAAATGGCGCTCTAACTATAGAAGTGCCTTTTAATATAATAAAAACAAAGCTTAATTTAAAAAGAAACGTCGTCATGCTCTGCATGTTGACATGCTCTTTCAAAAAAAAAATATATATAAGATGAAACTAGAGAGAGAAATTGAGGATGCGTGACCGGAAAAGCATAAACTGAGAAAAACCGAAAAACATTTTCCGTTTTATCTGAAGGGGTGTGCGTGTGAGCATGGTTCTTTTTGTAACATACTCTTACACTCACAGGCTTCTTGTCACTCAAAGACATTAGTCCATATCTCAAAGAAGTTCGCAGCTAATCGGATACGCCGATCGATTCCCAATAAATATTTTTACAGTCCTTCTAACATATTTCTCCTTGGTCCGCAAGACTTCGCCATCAATCGAGGACATTCGTCAGTAGACTGGAGTGGGGGTGGGTATGCAATATCTGTGCATCTACACCCACAGCCGCACTCACACTCACACCAACACTCACACCCCACACCCACACACTCGCACCCACACCCACACCCTCCTCCTCACGTATTGTTTTGTGGTTAGAAATTACTTGTTTCTACTTAGATGCTTTCCTGTGTGCCCGACAGTTTTTCAGCATCATGCTTGAATCTTGTCATCTCACTCTAAGGACTCAGCGAGATTTTGATCTCCTATAACTGACTATTTCAGATATTGGTATCGGTTTATGCTTTTTTCGATCTAAATGGAATTCAAACGAAGCAAAATTTACGAAAAATTATTGAATGATTTAGTGTTTTATATTGAAAGATCACCTAGGTGTACAAGCCAAGGGTTTGAATAGACCCACGAAAAGTACGTCTGATCGGTCTTCAACTAATTATAGATCTCTTCATTCTGACTCTATCTACCATGCACTTCTTTCGCTCAGCTCTATTTAACTGTCGCAAACTTTATAGTTTTTTCCAATGTAATCTTATGATGACATTTGAATTGAAGTTAGTACATTTTATATTTGTAAAGAATAGATAGATGGAACTGTTAATATTCAGAGAAACATCTATTTTTGATTAACAATATATTAGTATTCACAATTATGTTCACTCAAAATGATAACAAGTAATTTTGATCTTCAAACATTTCAATATATCTATTTATAATCACATTTCCTAATTAAAAACACGAGATTTTATCTTAAAAGAAATAACACACAGGTCTGATAGTGTATTTGGATCTTTGATGCAACTCTCAGCTCTATATCAAATGGATGGCGTATAAATAATGGACTTCTCAGTACTTTGAATTTATCTTGAAGCATATTTCAGTATGCCTGTTTTATACACACAATATAATGATTCATCAAACATATGGAACTTTGAAAGATAATGCTTTTCCGAGTTTTTTTCTAATGGAGCATTTTAACTCTAAAACTAGCTTTACTAATGCTATCTGTCTGTTCTAGTCGATGATCTTCACAAAGTCAGCCCAGTTTGAGTAATATAATGGATTTAGGTCTAGACTATTTGGTCGCTAATATAATGCTGACCGATGAACGAAGATAAGCCATAACGGCACGGTTGTTATGGTCAATGATAAATGTGTGACTTCGCTCCGTCTTGCTGACGTACTCTATTGATCATGCTCAATATTCTAAAGCAATACTTTCTGTGACTTTCAAACGTGAGAAAGAACTCATTGAAAATGAATGAATGTTTCAACATGACAGAACTAAGTCGCACATTCACTATTTACCACAACAACAGTGCTGTGAGGACTGACTCTCGTTCATTGACAAAAAATATTAGCTACCAAATAGTTCAGAACTATATTGTTTAGATTACTCTAATTGGACTGAGTTTGTGAAGATCATCGACTAGAACACACTGATAGCAAGAATAATACTGGTTGAAGAGTTAAGACGCGCAGCTAAAAAGATTCAAAATATAATTTTTGAGAATTACAGTGATTATTATTGTAGAGAACTCAATAACGAATCTTTCTGTATTTTTATCTGTATGGTCAAAACAATGTACTATTATTTCATTTTCTTCTTTTTAAAGCATTATTGATTAGAAACAGAAAACTGAAACGAGTTTAGCACAAAAAAACGATAAATAATGAACGAATAAAGGCAGCGATATAGAAAAAATAAATAAATCATTCGTTTGTTTGTATTATTTGTGTTATATCTTGTCATCTCAGGACTATTCCACATTCCTCTGTGACTTGAAGCGTTCTTTCGGTATTCTCACATAGTTCAGCGTGAATGCGAGTTTTGCATTGACTATCTACAATTTCTATGTACATTCAAGTTTTCCATCATATTTCCTAATCGATGCTGTCTTGCGCCAGCAAACTTTTGCCATCATTTTCATGAATCGTCCAGTAATATTACTACTCGTTATAATATTCTTGCATATTGCTCTGTAGTTTGAACATGTTCTTCAACGTTGACTCGCATTACTATGTGATATGAACCTTCCTTTCTCATTTTCATGTCTACTTCTAATGTCTGTATTCATTTGTCCTAACCATAAAACATGATTATGTACCTGAAGCTTTTGACACTCATTTTCGAGTATACCTTTATTATGGTCTAAACCTTTTACATTGATCATTGTGCACTTCTTTTTTGTTTCAAGCTTTTGTAATTAGTCAGGAAAACCTTCTTGTAGCTTAACCCTTTCTCTATGTCTCACAC